ATTCAGTGCCTGTGTTTACTTTCATTGTTTGTATTTCTGTGTCATTCAGCCTCAAACAAAAACAACATGTTTACTGAGATTCCATTCCATTTCTGAGGGTCACAGACAACAATATTATCATCCTAAAACTGAAAAATGTTATTCATTCGTTTAGTTTAAATATGTTGTGTGTTAAACTAGGCCTACAGCCCTTGTTGTATATGTTTATTTTTTTAGAAATACTGAGAGGTGACAGGGAAGCACAGTACTCAGCACTGGGGCCCTAGATTCAATTGCTGGGGTACTATCTGGGTGGAGTTTGTATGTTCTCCCTGTGTTCACTGGGGTTTGCTCTGGGTGCTCTGGTTTCCTCCCACAGTCCAAAGACATATAGTGGTTCATTGGCTTCTGGTAAAATTGGCCCCAGTGTGAGTGTGCCTGTGTGTCTGCCCTGTGATGGACCGGTACTCTGCCTCGCACCCGGATAAGCTCTGGGTCGCCTGTGACCCTGTATTGGATAAAGCAGTTAGAAAATGGATGGATGGGATACTGATAAAGTATAGAGAGTAGCTCCAGGAGTGAATAAACTCACTATAGAGGAATGATAATAAAACACATGCCCAGGTGTATATATACAGTATAGTCTATGTGTAAGATGTGAAGAACATTCAACAGATATCATACCCATTAGTATAAATGATGTGACACCAGTTGTGCTCATTAAATCAGACAAATACTGTTCCAGAGCTTTACTGTTCTACTACAGAATACAAACACAGGTTATCTATCTACAAGAGATTCTGAGCTATATATGAATTCTGAGTTACAGTTAAAGAAAAATCATGTTCTTGTTAACACTGTGGACAGGACACCCCAAACCATCTCGCAGAAGTATGTTTTGGTGTTTTCTGACACAGGGTAGCAGGGTTGTTATCAGCTCACATGTGGCTCATGGATCCGGTTATGATCCACCTCTCCAGTTCTTTCCCTCAGACTCCGGTTTTTGCTAGTTCTATGGAGATAACATTAGAAACGTAAGGAAATGTTTACGAACGTTGTCGAAGAGAAGCGTAGTAGTAACGGGGGAACCCGAAGTTAAAAAGTTGCAAGAACACTAAAAACGGCCTTTTAAGTGGTGAAAGGCATCAAATATGTCAAATATATAAAACCAAATATTTGAAAATATTTTGCAATATTCGAGAGAGAGGATTATAAACCTTATTGTGACCTCATCCTCATGAGCCCGTTAAAAAGCGAGATTAATCAAGTTATGATACTGCTGTGCCTTACTTGGCTTATTATTCATCCTGGTTGACAGCTACCTAAATATCTTCCAACGGGTAGTGGTTCATCTGTAGGCATTGATCGCGACAGTTTACTCTTAGGACTCAGAAGACCGCTCGTCTGCCCAGTATGTCCTGAGACGGTCTTGAAGAGGACGGGGTGAAGAGTTGAGATGCAATGAGTCGACATCACTGACAATGAGCTACTGCAGCTCTCACAGATCTCGCATGACCCGCGATTTGGACAGGTTTAGTTTGCTTCCTGTCTTTCCGGCGTAATTTCCCTACGCTTGCACTACTTCGTACTGTAAATTGCTTGTGTCACATTAGCGCTTGCTTCGTCTTTTAATCGTCTTAGACCTAAGCGTTTCCTGTTTGACGGGGTAGTTTAAAAAGTTGCACAGAAATGAGCTTTGAAAATTCATTAACACGCGTGCTGAAATCTTAGCATGCAATCGGCAAAATTAGTAGATGTGAATAATAACCCATAAGAGCAACCCATTTTATTTTAAATAACACTTTAAACCCAAGAAAGCACATTGACTGTCAAAAACCACCAGTATTGATGCACTTTCTTTATTTCTAACCCTTTAAACCTAAGGTTGCCAGGTGTTCCTTAGCAGGCTCGTTAGACTGTACATGTCAACCAATGCAGTTCCTCATAGGCGAGTACAGAACATCTGGAGAGCAGCCTGATGATCTGAGCGGCTCAGGGAGAACCGAGTGTAACATGACAAAAGCTTACTTCCGGACGAGCCCCCAGCTCCTGCCCCCTTCGCCATGACGTAGACGCGTTCTGATTGGTCTAAACCTCGTGACGACGGCCCCCCCTCGACGCTGCGGAGCGGCCACTCCCCCCCGCCGGCTTTGTCTCTGACGTCACTGGAAGTCGCTGCGCATGGTGAAGGGCGAAGCAGGACTTTGTCCCGAAGGGGCAGGTAGCGGGCGTATAAAAACTGCCGGCTGCCCAGCGCAGGTCACCACGACCCCGGACAAGGCTTTGGTGCACAGCAGAATGGCAGCATCGGACAGGATAATGCTGGGTCCCCTGGTGGGAGCCATCGACCAAGGAACAAGCTCCACTAGGTTCTTGGTGAGTCAATGGGAAATCTCCTCGCCTTCCGCTGCTTTGCCAGTTTGATACTGATGGGTATGGATGTTGACAGGTCTGTCCTTTCTATGATCGAGGGCTAAGAACAAAAACCAACCGAAATGTGCGCTGGATTCATTTGGAAATAACTGACCCGTTCTGATAACGAGTCTTTTCTCCCCCAGGCGTGATTCGTAGGCGTCGTGACGGTTTACTGTCGGTGCTGTTCTTGTACTGTGCAAGAAGCAGACCTGTGTCCAAGAGCAGCGACTCTCTCAAGAACATATATATAATAAGAGGATTATTATTGTTTTTATTATACAAACGTGGACGTTTTCATTCTGTTGAACCATGATTTTTTTTTTGTGATGTACAGTACCTTATGTCTTTGATGACAGACGTGTACATAAGCCGTCTCCACATGCCGCCGCTTAAAAAGTGATGTCAAAATGTGAATAAATTCAAGAGAAAGCATGTCATGTACTGTAAATAGTGAGGTTAGGCAGTATCTTGATAAAATGCAGAAGTAACCAAAGGATGTTTTGGATTTAAGTAACAGTGTGCTGTGTAGTCTGGATCATCATTATGTGAACATGAGTTTATAACGGACTGTAATTCCTAATCTGCCTGTTCTGTACTTGAAACACTGGTGAGTCTCCTTGCCTCTCCAGTGAAAGGGCTTGAGGTTAATTTCTGTGAGCAGAGAGTTTCCCCCCAGTAACTGTTTAACTTATAGTTTGTTACTTATGTTTTTTGTTGGGGGTAATTGTAACAAACAGATACTCAATAACACCCGCTGTCCTGCCAGTTTTCCAGCAGACTTCACATGTTCTGGTGTGCACTGTAACAGACCTGCAGATCCATGCCTGGGACTGTAAATACGAACTATAAACCTTTAGGTCTTTAAAATGCAACATGGTGCAAAACATGTGTAGAAAAGGTTGGAGGCTGGGACAAGAAAACATTGTTTGGGTGGAAATAATTGTGACAATTTAGCACTAGTTAATGGGCTGCTCTATTAGGTCCCAGTCTAAGATGAAGAGAGACAAGACAATTATATCTAAGAACTCATTTCATCCACTGTTCCATTGGGCATAGCACTTTAGCTGTATTAGCAGAGAATGCTGCTAAAAAGCCAGTAACTCAATAATTATTAAAAATATAATCTTTCAAGATTTTAACTATATATTTACTTTTCATCGTTGGAGTATGAGTGATTGAGTCTTTGTTCAGCAATCAGAAATTGACTAGAATCCTCCCATTCGTGTCTTAGGTATCAAATGACATGTAAGAATGCAATTCTTTAAAAATAAAGTTCTTGTCTTATGAGTCATGTGATAATTTTATATTGAAGGTGAAATGGAACAGAACCACACCTACAGTTTTCTGTTAGGCTGGAAATACTCTCTGGAAAAATAAAGTGATGCACTATTGCCTGCTTTGGCCATGGAGCGATTAATTTTTTGTATTTAGAAATGCTTTGGTCAACAGTTTGGCACTATGTGAAAACCTTTATAAGCCTTCTGGAGAAAAGGGGTGATCGTGAGTAAAAACTGAAAACGGACCGAAGAAAAAACGTGCATAAGGAATTCTCCTGCCCTTTAAATACGTGTTTTTACTGCCCTGTCCCCTTAACAGTATGATTGGTAATTTGCTAAGCAGTCAGATTCTAGAGGCAATTGCATTTAAACAAAGCAATTTACACCTACCGCACGACAGTCAGTGAAATTCCATTCCTGGCATGCCGCAGTGAAAGGGACCAAGCCAAATAAGAAGAGCTACAGGTGTCACCTGTCTGACCAAACAGCTGATTGGGCACCATGTGAATATTGATATTTATAGCTCCACCTCACCCACATTGACTTCCTGCTCCCTCCACTGAGGAGCATGTAAATAACAAACTGTCTGGCCATAGAAGGAGCAGTCTCCTGGAAAGCAGGAAAATAATACAGGTTGAGATTACTACAGAATCAAAGAAATAAATATGGGTACACAGGTTTCAAGACGGTTAAAAAAAACCCACGATGTAAATCGACTTGTGCTGTCCTGTGATACAAGAGAAACAAAATTAGGAGATCTACAGTACGTACCTTTCAACTACTATAATCCAACACACGATGACAAAAAGTCTGTGCCTCTTACAACAGTTCTCTTAGCTTGGGGATATTTATTGATTATTCTTAGTTGGTCTCCAGATGCTCATGTTCAAAGACTAGACAACTGGGGAACTAGATAGTAAAGAGCAGGTTAGATCAATGTTTTTTATAAAGCCATAATGCACACATTACCAATCAGGTAGCTAGGTTTATTCCATGCTGAAAAGAGAAGAGAGAAAACGCAACGTTTCGGCAGTGGAGCCTTCTTCAGGTGTGAGAAAGACAGGGCAGTAAGCAAAGGTAATGTAGTGGGAGAACAAAAGCTGGGAGAGAGGATGAACGAGAGGCCCATCTGAATCAAAATCTGGGAAAATCTGGTCGTTGTGTTCAGTGGAGCCTGACTAACAATCCTAGGTTTATAAAATTGTTGAAAGAAATGTTAAACCACTTCTAATTATTTGAACCTGCTCCCTTGATGTCTCACCAAATGTATGAAACATTCTTTACATTAAGATTTTTTTTAATGTAAATAGCAGAATCAAGGTTCTTAACTTAATTCCGTAGGTCACAAGTCATTTATGCATTTAGTATTAATGGTACTTGGTTAATGATAAATCAGGAGAGTAGCAGGGCATAGGATAGGCTAAGGGCTGTCATCCTAGTCAATTATCAAATCAATACATTTAAAATTAGTGTTATTCAGAGAGTATCATGCTTAAGTATCTGCTCAAAGTGAGTGTATTACATTTTACTTGGTTTGTTGGCTGACATCTACAGAAAGTGGTTTTATTGCTGTTTCACTGTTTAGACTGCTTGCAGGGCTGTCTCAAAATGGCCTAGAAAGGGTGTTGCAAAAGATTGTGAAAAGGCTGTTCACATTTACAAAAGAAATGATTACAAGGACGAGCTTATGTCTTGGTTGAGTATGTATATGTGGGAGAACAGGATTGAAGAGGACTGAAATTTACCTTAAAGATGTTCTCATGACTGCGAGGCCCAATGTGTTGAAATGCTGTAGCCATCAATTGTGCACAAAGGCTAAATTTATGTTTTAGGAAATGTTAGGTTTGCGTTTCTCCATGAACACTTGCACAGGGGAATAAAATTGCCTCGTTAAGTTCCTGCAACTATGGATCCTTCAACACAAACATGTCAAAGTAGACAAGGCCAAAGAGTCCATGTGTTATGAAGGCATAGAAGCAAGTGTCTTTTTCAGTTGGATGATGCCCACAGGCACTGCTCAGAATCGCTGTTACTAAGAACATTAAAAAGCATGTCGTAAACATTAAAGAACAAACAGGGTATCCATCTTCTAAGTCAGACAGGGAGTTGTCTTGATTGACATCTTTGAACATCTAACACTAATATAAACAGCAACCACGCATTGATAAACAATTGGTACAAAATATCGGAAATAATCTATTGTTCATGCTATGAATAGTGTTCACCCGCATAACAATGCTCAGTCAAATATTGTTCAGCTATCAGAGCACAAATATCAGAAATACGCTGTTTCTAGGGGTGATTATTATTAGTCCTTTAGCTGTTTAAAAAACCCGCACAAATTTAATCTCTCTACATCTCTAAAATAGTCGGCACACAGTGTTTCAATTCTAATGATATGGTGTGTCGAGTTACTTTCAGCCGATTAAAGAAGTAGCAACTAGAAGTAGAAAGTCACCGGAGATTTCCTCCAATTTTTAACAGGGGTTCGCATTAAATGGTAAAAAATCTTCTTTACTAACCCCTCTACAATTTAACGCTGGGGATGGCAAAGATTAACTCGAGTGAGATAATGTGTACTTGAAAAATACAAAATGCTGTCACGGTATGAGAGCTGTGTGAAATTCCAGAATACGGTATTAGAAGTTTTCGTTCGGGGTGATACTTTATATCCATTTGTCCACACCGAGCGTTGTTCTCTGAAGTTTGTGAATCCAGTAATATGTTCCATGAGACGAGAACCTCTTAAATTGGCTTGACGCAACTTTGCCAACAAATTGCTTGTGGAATACTTTATGGAAATTGGTGTTGAGGGTTGGGAGGGGCTAGCTGCTGTTATGGTGAATTAGCTTGTAAAAGCCGACCCCTCCCATCCCCTCCTCTCATAACAGGGCCCATTTGGTGAGATCATCTGATTAGGCAAACTTCCACAGGACCTTTGCAGGTCACATTACACTGACGCGTGCTTGTCACGGGGGAACAGGACAGCAGTGTAGGAATGGGAACATGCCTGGCGTATACTTATCCTTATTTCTGTAGATGATTTCTCTTCTGCGCCTCCTGTACGCCAGTGTTACAAGCTGCTGCCTGGCTGCTGGAGCTAAATCTGAAATCATTGTGACGCATTCCTGGTAGCTGTGGCTGAACCATAAAAAAGAAATTGCACGGACGGCTATTAAAAGGCTCGGTCATGCACTTTGTCTTGCGCTCCCTCCCGGACTGTGGGCCGCGGCCCAGCTTTGACAGCGCACTGGAGAAATCCATTCTCTCTTCGGACGGAGATCATGAGAACAGAGCTGGAGAAAACGATTGCCAGTCGTTTCACGTGCAAACAGACTTCTTTTTGGCCCTGAAAGGTGGCAGTGGCAGAGATCCATTGGCTACAATCGGACAGTGCTGTCATGAAAGCAGCCGGATGGACGAAACGGAAGTTTACAAAACTTAAAAGAAAATATCCCAGAACTGTGTAATAAGAGCAGAGACCATGATCATAATTTTCAAGAGCAATTTTTGTCTTTTGTTCCAGTCATCCTGTCCTTTGGATCCTATCTTACATTGGATATGCATAAGACTTGTTTCTCTGAAGTAACATTTGGTACTGAAGTCCAAGACTGGTGCTAATCTGTGAAACCAGTTGCCACTGGTTTAGAAACAGGTGAATGAATATACAGAGAGGACTTTGATGTGCTCATATAAGGCTATCCACTGAACTGATTAGTGTTCAGTTCACACAGCTGTACTTGTTCACACTTAACACTTTCCTGAACCAGCTGCCCCAGCTAGCACACACAAATAAATTAAAATCTGAAAATCATGCTTTAAATGATTTAGAATATGGTGTTTTATCATGCTCAGGACACAAGAATTACTACTGTAACTTTATTACATTGTGGTTGAAGCACTAGCTGCTAGCTAGTTTGCAGTTCAGTGCTGTTATTAACATGGATGTCTCTGCATGTTTTGTGTGAAAATCAACCTTCTGGAATGTCATGGAGTCAAAACTTTGTGGTGACTGGCTCATCGATCTCTAGTCATGTTTTCATTTGCACTGAGGAAGGTTTTTTTTTTTTCCATCTATACAGAATCCCAGGTTCTAGGGTGTTGCTCAAAATAGGACCACACAAGTAGAATTTAATTTATACGAATGGTGTGTGATTTGGCTGGTAATCTTCTAAATGAACTTGTTTTCAGAGGCCTGTCAGCTTGCACCTCATTCCCTGAACCGATGAGTGTTCTACTGAATGAATTATGTAAGATAGCCTGATTGACGTTTGCCCACCAACATGGGTCAGGTTTCTTCATAATTCTTTAGCGCTTTTGTTTTGCAATACATTTTGAAATTATCTGCATCATTCCCCACTCAAAAAAACAAAATAACAGAACTGCTGTTCAGTGGTTTCAATGAAATTTAACATTTTGATTTTGACATCCTACTCTTAATGATGCTGACTGGCTTTCAAAGGATGTTCTGCCGTGAAATGGGCTAGTTGAGCCAAGTGGCCTTCTCTTGTTTGTATTCTTATGTTCTTTGTAATGCCTTCATATAATCTGAATTCTCAGTGTTATTCGTGGATAGAGTTAAGTTGATTTTTTACATTCTTTACAGGGACTTAGTTTCTGTTAATTTCATAATGGCTATGTGAATTGCAGATGTGTGCAGGGTTTGTCGAGCAACATCTTACAGTTTTGTAAACATAAACAAGGCAGGGGCAGGGGGAGAGGATAGAGGTATCGTTAGGGTCTCTGGACTCATTCTCAGAGGATCATGGGTTCATGTTTGGTGTCTGTATTTGGCCAAGGAGCTGACCACACCGCATTGCCATCTGTGGGATTCTGACTGAACGTCTCTTAAGAAGTTGTGTCCTTGAGAAAGATGCACTACTCCATTTGCTCCAGTCTACACAGGTGTAGACGTTCTTACCAGCATTCACTAGAGCGTTAAGTCAGCAATGGATTTGCGTCCCTTTCAGGTGGAGAATTGTTCTCTGTTCCTTATTGCTAATAGCAGAACCCCTGACAAGCTCAAGCCTCTTGAACCAGAAGGACAGAAAGATTTGAACCTGAACATTATTCTTCATATGCTAAAGCAATTTTCTTTTTCAGCAGCACTTCTGAGCTGCGTTTTCCTACATTTTTGTCCAGGACTTCATTCTGATTCTCTGTTTTGAGATGCACGAATTAACATGCGTGTCTGTTGCTCATTTTCAGGTTTTCAACGCCAAAACAGCCGAATTACTGAGCCACCACCAGGTTGAGATCAAACAGAATTTCCCTAAAGAAGGGTAAGTATACAGGAAACATACTTTTTTTTCTGCGTTGAGGGTGGTAACGTCTCAATCTACAGTAGCTGCTTCTTTACCAATCTCAGAAGTGCATTGTGTGGCTTAAACTGTGACTCGTGAGGGAGGCATAGTCGATGACCTGCCATGCACAGCAAGATCGCACCCTGCATGTTAAATTACTGTACTGTGTCTTTCTCTAATTCCTCTCTAAGTTCTACATCACTGAATAGGATTTTGTTCTGTAGAATCGGAAAGCTGACATTGGAGGGGGGGGGGACAGATGTTTGCCATAGGAGGGAATCGAGTGGCACCTTGGATATTTAATTGGATGTTAATGGAAGAAGTTTGGCTTGAAAGGCAGTTCCCTCTAGAGAGGGATAAAATGCAAAACCGAATCAGTTTTTCTGAAGACGGATGTCATTTATTTTACTTAGATGGGTGGAGGCAGACCCCAAGGAGATCCTGCAGTCTGTGTATGAATGTATGGAAAGGACCTGTGAGAAGCTCTCCCAGCTAAATATCGACATTTCCAACATTAAAGGTATTCCTTCGGTGCTGGAATTCTTCTGGAACCATGGAGCTGTGTGACAGCGTGGAGGAGGGAGAAGAGACGTACTAGTTAGATCATGGATGACGCTTTGAGCTTGAGGGGCATTTGGATGTCCTGATGTGTCAGTCAGATGTGAGCTGGAGTCTGAAACCCAAAGGCAGCTTGCTGCACAGGAGAAACGGACAGCAGCACAGCAGAGCAAATTTGTGAAATCCCATTCAGCCCTGCCTCTTGTTAGAACGACCACTTTTTGATAGTAAAGTTTGTGCATGTTGAGACTTTCCAAACATGGTAATAAGTGATTTTAAAATGCAATTCTTTGTAAGTTTATAATAAGTAAACTTATTTACTTAGAGGTATTCTGTTTTGCTTTGAATGCCTAGAGTTTTTGAGGTGCCTTAAGTCCACAGTATTAATAGTAGTAATAAAAATGATAATCTTTGTTTTCTTTTTAAAAGCTATTGGAGTCACCAATCAGAGAGAAACCACCATTGTCTGGGATAAAGAAACTGGAGAACCGCTCTATAATGCTATTGGTATGTCTCATCACTGATACAAATTCAGTGTCTGATCTTGATGAGTTTCCCAGTCAAATGTGCCTGAACATAAACCACACATTAAATCTGTCGTGAAAGATGATTGTATTTTTACACGACATCAGAAAATGGAATTACACAGCACTTGAAGGGCCAGGCAGTGTTTTCTTCCAAAGACTTGCCCACATGCTGCCCTCCCAAGGTTCTTTAACCTCTTTGTGACCTTTGACATTTATACAGCAGGCCAACAGGTTCAAGCAGGGTCAGCCCAGTTTTGCTGACATGGCGCAACAGCTGTCCTTAAACTAGGTTGTGCGGTTTTCTTTGGAATAAGTTTTTGCGATCACTTATTTAAAAAAAAACTGATTACAGTGAGTCGGATTTAGTCTTAAGAATGATGAATTGTTCATTTTTTAGTTTTCTCATTCACTGTCCTTTACTCAATAAATGATGATCTACATTTCTTTTCTTACGCAATAGGAGTACTTTAAATAGAGATATACTTGTGCTCAAGTTATTTCCTACTTGATTTTTTTTCCGTGTAACTGTTTGAACATGATCGAATGTAACACAGAGTTCTTGTGTGTGTGAAGAAATATTTTCATTGTACTGGCATTAATAATTACCTCTCAAGGCATGGAGAATTTGTATAATGTAGAGGTTAAATCCACAGTAAGTAGTAAAAAGAAAAGACAGTGTTTTAATCCTTGTATCCACAAGCCCGATCCTTTTCTTTCTACTTTTCAGTGTGGAATAAACCTGTGCTTCTTCTTTGGCCTCTCCTCCCTTTCGTTTAGTTGATTGCTGCCTTAGACTACCTGATAAGACGGGCTGTTTTTCTCAGTTCTGTAGATTTGCTTTTAAGAGACAGGTCTTTATCATTTACAGTGCCAGCTAAAGTCTGCTTGAAGATGTATATTACATATTAAAAAAAAATCACTCTGCCATCATCCATGGGTTCAAACAGACCCTGGGAAATGGCACTTCCCCTGTGCCAGTGTTGGTTTGGTACTGTGCCATGCTGCTCCCAGCTGAAATTAAAATGCAAAGGCTTGTCGGTTGACTTGCAGTTTGGCTGGACCTCCGCACGCAATCCACAGTAGAGCGACTGATCAACAAAACGCCAGGGAGGAACAAGAATCACCTCAAGGTGGGTTCGAGTGCCCTGGGACTGACTCCCTGCCCTCCCGCTCACCCCAGCCAGCCTGGGACCTTTCCTAATCCAGGCAGACCTTTCAGAACTGCGTCAGGGTGGCCTGCCTCGAGCCCACGCTTGCCTCCTTGTTCCTTATGGGAGACGTTCGTGACTCCCTTTGCTGCTTTTTCATGTCATGTGTTTGAAGGGCAGAAACGGCGCTTGGCTGTTTAAAGTCTTCTGTGGTTTTGAAGCTTTCGGCAGGTGGAAAATAAATTGTAAATCAAAAATCCAGGGAGCCCCAAGTGCTCAGACGTGCTGGGAATTTACAGGCTTTAGTTCAGTCTTCAGAGTAACACTTTACATCGAAAGGCTTTTGTGTTTCTGTCCGTGGAGAAAGGGGCAAGCCTGTTTGTAGATTTAACCCAAGTATCAGTTCCTGTTTGCTTAATTAAATAACAGATCTTCTAAAACAAGAAGTGACATGAACCATCGTACTCATCGTGTAAATCTTCTGCAAAGACATCTCCAAATAGTGTTACAGATATTCATTCAAATGTTTTAGAGAATGGTTGGGGTAAAAAAAAAAAAACCCTGTCTTTATCTGCTTCCTCTGTACCAGAACAAGACGGGACTCCCAATCAGCACGTACTTCAGCGCGGTGAAGCTGCGCTGGTTGATGGACAATGTGGAGGAGGTCCACAGTGCAGTTCTGTCAGGACGAGCTATGTTCGGCACCGTCGACTCCTGGCTCATCTGGGTAAGAACCTTTAGACAGTCACTGATCCAACCTCCTTAGGGGTAGAGAAATACAACCAGTTTGCGTCTTATGTGCGTAATTATTCTGAACCGAATGTGTGACAAACAAGGAGAATATGTTTCTCCTCCAATTACTGTGGATCTGTGGATCAAAACACACAGTTTAGAGACTCGCGTTTCTAGTTGTGAAATCAATCGCGTCTCCTGACGAGACAATGAAGGGGTGGCCCCTTTTGGGTTGCCGACTTTTCTAGGCTCCTGATAAAGCAGTTGTTCCTTGAATCTGATAATCGGACCAAAACAGTCAACAAATCAACGTGATGACATGAATAGACAAAGCAACAGTTTGACAGATTGGCTTATCAGATAGCACTCTGCTTGTCCTCATAGACCAGCAGGCACCAAGAGCACAACAGCTGTGATCTCACGGTTTTTAAATAAAAACGGATAAAAAGAGTTAACCTTGTTTTTTGCAGTTTATTAGAGAACCTTGTATCTTAGTAGAGATCCGTGTATTTGCCCTGGACTGAAGACACATTCCCATTCTACTTTAATTACTGTATTGGATTGCATGTTCTTCCTTTTGAACCTTTAGCCTTAAACTATTTTCCTGTCTTGCTCACATACTGTAGCCACAGTTCCTAATGGAGGTCTGTTGTTCTCCTGCCCTTTTCCCTCACTGTCTGGATAATTGAAGTGTCTGACAGGAGGTAGGCAAGGTGGCGTTCACTGCACGGACGTGACCAATGCCAGCAGGACCATGCTGTTTAACATTCACACTTTGGAGTGGGACCCTGATCTGTGCAAGTAGGTGGTTCAGTTACTCTTTTCATTTGAACACAGCATACAGTGGTGATGTCTGATCCCAGCCCTGAAGGGGGCACAGTTCACTGGGATTTTTAGGAAACGGCTAATCCTCATCATAAGGAAAGACCTGGAAACAGAGGAGAACAGAGCAGCTCATTGGCCATTTGACTCCACTCAGGTCTTCTCTTTTTCAGTGATATCCGTCTTGGTTATTTCCTGTTTTTAAATGCGTGTTGTTGTTTTTTTTTTCTGGGTGATTTAGGTATTTCGATGTTCCAATGGATATTCTGCCAAAAGTGAGAAGCTCCTCTGAAATATATGGCTTAATGGTAGGTTTTTAAAAGTTCTCTTTCCATTTTTGAAATAACGGCTTACTGTTTACGGTAGAAATGTAGATGCATTTCAAGAATGGCTAAAAAAAACCTGAAATGTTGAAATTGAATTGAAAAGTCATATTTTTGTGTGCTGTAGGAGGGACACTCCTCATTGAAGTGTTGGGAGTTTTTTTTTTAAATGATGGTTACATTTATAAACAGTGCCTGTCTTATACTGTACAGTATGTCACATTGTTTGGAAAAAGTAGACCTTCTTGATATCGTCCTGTCTCAAGCAGAGCACATAATAACAGAGCTCTTTCTGATATCTACACATTCTCCAGGTAAAGATGTGGCTCTATTTCTGGTGCCTCATCTACTGACAAATGCCATGCAGGTGCAAAACATACGTTGAACCTTGACAATGTGCCTCGTTCCAATGAGACTTGAAATCAGTTCAAACTGTTTAAAAGATGGGGCTCAGTACAGACAGGGGAATGACCATTTGGTTCTGAGGATTTTCAAGTATTTAGAAAGAATAGAAAGTAGTATAGTAATAGTAATAGACTTGAACTCAATATTTTTGCACACTAGTTTTTATTTATCTCTGTGCTGTATAGTGTTAAGTGTTTCAAGCCAGAAACTGTATTTCGTTTCTTCACTTTTCAGTGTCACTATTCAGTACTGCTTTGGTGAAAGCCATATCTACAGTATGTTTGAGCTTGTGATTTAGAATGTTTAGTTTAAAGACTAAATTAATCATGCGGAAGTAGGCAATAATACCGAGTGTAGACGTGTTGGAGGGACACAGAGGCGTTCAGAGGAAGACAGGAGTCTTGAAACAAACTTTTTATGTGCGTTTTATTTGATGACACCCCATTTGATGGTTTCTAATAAAAAAATAATAAAATATAGGGATATTTTTTAGTTAAAAAAATATAACAGGCAAATGCATAACCTTCTCTTACGATTTATTTTTTATCAACATTTAAATTGTTTAGTTTATGTGCATTACCTGTGGGGGTTAGTCTGTGTAAACAATGAGATGATTGGGCAGACAGACTGTAAATACTTCAGACTTGAGCACCTAAAACTTCTCCCTCCATGGCCTGTCATCTGTCATCAATGGTTTCATTGTCCAGTTCAAGTGGCAGTTAAAGGCCTTGGAGACAAAACCAAAGCAATGCAAGCTGGAATGAGAGACGTTTGTCTGGATTGTTGTAGCTTAGGATGCAGCAAGTTATATGATTTTACATCTTTTCACCCAGGAGCAATTTAAACCTTGTGTTTGTGATGGGGAAGACCTAGAAAATACAGTTTGCAACAAATCAATTGTAAAAATAAATATCCTCTAATATATTTTTGATGATGCGAAATCCAAAAAGCATGGTATTAGCTGTGCTTGTCATACAGTAGGTATTGCTTGAGTTTTAAATACTTAGTTCCTAATTCCTTAGTGACTTTGACCAATGAAAGTGCTTATATACAGTACAGAAGTCAATGAAGGTATGTCATTTGCTGATCTCCTATGAAGCCTTTTGCACAAAGAGACTGTTATTTGCATCGGTTGTGTACTGTTTTTGCCTGACTGGTCTGTTTTACACTGAATGAAAGAAAGGTCCAGAACTGTGCATTAAACCTTTGCTCCACAGCACACAAAGTTATCCCTGTGAAATAATGGCAGAAATAAGAAACGGCTTCCTTGCTGTTTCCACACTGTAACTACATTTTCATTTAAAAAAATACTTTATGTTGTAACAACAACAAAACAAAATCTGAGCTTATGCATACTATTGGAAATAGTCGTTTCTTGATTCAGCCATTATTTCAGATTTGTGTATAGTGATTACTTGGATGTCCTCCTAAGCAGAAACACCAGTTCTTGAATTTCCCAGGTCTGGGAACACAGTTTTGCTGTGGAGAAAAGCCTCTTCAGCTGTCATATCTACATGAGGGAAGAGATTTTCAGGTTCAGATCTTCATCTTTTTCTGTCATGTCTCTCCCTGCTGACTTGTAGAAAATAAGCTCTAGTCTGGTGAGTAGGAGTTTTTCTCGCATGTCCCACTTGTGGTTCTGTTTCCCTCCTCGTACAATTCAAACAATTAACAGTGCATTTCCAATTTTTTGCCAGTGACAACAAGCAGCCAAAAAAAAAAATCTTTTTGAATTTGGATCAGGACTGACCACATTTCTTTTATCTTTGGTATGATCAGGCCAACGATATAAAGTTTATGATTAACTTATTGGCTTCGTTGCATAACAGAACCTGAAGTTTTTTTTGTGTGCAAGTGTTCAGAAATGATTTCCGGCAGACAGGGGATACAAAAACAGACATGCACCTCAGCTGGAGGGATCCAATTGGGTTTGAGTTTTGAGGTTTATTCTATGTGAAGGGCTGTGACTTACTGTACAGACTGCTTTAGAGGAAAAAAGGCTTTTCTGGAGTTGTAGGACAGCTGGCACAGTTTCTGAATGAAGTCAGTCCTTGGGCGTCTGTCTGCCACGTTGGAGGGCAGCTATTGGAAATGTGCTGGATGCGTTTTCTCTCTGTTTGCATGTTTCCTGCCACGAGGCTCTGTTGTGACACCCTGCACCCTTTGCCCGGGCAGTGCAAGGGTCAGGGCTGCGACAGTCCCTGCTCGTGACGGGGCCCGGCACGGTGACCTGACAGCACTCGCTCGCTCGCTCCCCAAAGCTCTTCGCTCCAGCAGGACAGGTTCACATGTGAGCGGTCAGGCGTTAAACAAGAGCCCAGCAGAACAGGAAACCGGCCAAGAGCAAACTGTGTCTCTCGGGGTAAACAAGTCTGCCACAGTCGCTGGGAAACTGTCCAGGGAGAGAAGGGATTATCGTAAAGGTACAGGGACAGCCCATTTTGTTAGTTGCCTTTGCTCTTACATGAGGAGAGGGCCTGTTTGGTGGTTAAACCCCTCTGCTGAGTTCACCTCCTGATGCAGATAATACTGCTACACCCTTGAGCAAAGTACTTGACTCTGGCTGATTCCGTCACCTCAGCATACTGTAATAAAGGCAAATTCAAAGACTTGAGTAAGCTTTACTGGTATGACCAACGGATTATAGTGTTGCCAAAACAATATGACAATATTATATAATTGGACGTGGACAGGTATCACATAAAACATTATTTGACAGGCTCCCTCTCTGTTCCTCAGGCTGTGACAGGAGATCACATACTGAGCTGCCAGTGTTATATATGCCCAATGCAGAACGCCAGCCAGGGGGCTCACTGCCCTGTGGGCTACTCCTAAAGGACTTCATGTGCTCACGTACAGTACACGAGCTCTGCATGGTTACAATGTGTCTTCCTCTGAGTTTCGCAGTCTAGCGAGCATGTCTCGCAGTGCTCAGTGAAGGACGGAGGTACAGTTCGTTACATGACAAAGCAGGACTGTCAGAATAATAATAATAACACAAATAACAACAACAATAATAATTAATAATAATTAATTATTAATAATAATTAATAATTATAATAATGAGAGAGATGACACACTGGCTCAGAGCTGCTGCACTCTCTAATGTAGCTGAATGTTACAGCCAGCCAGATGGAGTGAAAAGGTTTGGTATATAGAGACCCTGTGCCTTGGCCCTTTCTGCATGTTGGCACCACCTCCTGTTTCCCTGTTCTGTGTGCTGGTTCAGTTTTCTTCTTGTTTCTGGCTGCCGTCTGTGTTTGCCATCGAAAGGTGGTACCGGAAATGCATGCGTTGTTTCTAGGTTTCGGCTTTGTTAACAGTGCAGTGAAGCTAAGTGTGTGTTTTCTGCGTACTTCTGCTGGGTCTACTCAGTATGCCAGGGTTGACGTTTATCACTTTTGTAAACGACTGGTAAACGTCAATGAGCCCGACAAGCTGATAGAGTTGTAGCTAAGATCGTCCGCATTTTCAATTCATCCAGCCCTTTTTACATTTTTACGTTCCAAATTATTGTGATAATTAGTATTACCTTATTGTGACGATGTAATCATTTTCGTATTTTCTAAGTAAAGTACTTCATATAAGCGCTTTGAGAAGCCACCTTTAAAAGTGCTATATAAAATAAAGTTTTTTTTTATTAGTGTTACATCTAGTGCATATACAGTATATTTGCTGTATGATACACATTTCTCAATCAAAATATCTGACTTGTTTTGGGAAGAAAAATTCTCAGCTGTGCCATTTTTTAAAAAGATGCATTTTTTGCATAAACATTAAATTAAAACCACTGGGCTAGAAAATGTGAGTGTCTGGCTCCCGAGCAGGTCGTAGGTTCTGTGTGGATTGCTATCACTGGCACACAGCCTGTCGCTGGAGCAGGCAGCTTCTAAAATGACTCCATAAACGAAAGCTGCAGTTGTGGCAGCAGCAAGGCAGGCAGAACCCTGCTGGCATGTCTAAGGGCCGATGGTGAGTGACAACAAAGCTGCTGTAAAAGTGCATATTATCAACCGTAAAAAAAATAAAATAAAAAAAGAGCTTTATAATACCTTGTAAGTATTGCAGGTTCCAGTGTTACAGTCTAATGTAAATAGGAGATTTCCAGGCTCGAGCGGCACTGTAGATGAACTGGGGGCAGGCATTCTCCTCCTAATTGGGAATGAAAGACCTCTTCTTTGCTGTCCACTTGCGCATGCTTGTGAACAGCTAGAAATAGGTCTGGGTGACACCGTAAAGAGGGGAATTGGAGCTTCTACAGAAGGAGCCAGCACATCCACATGTTCTTCGATAGGGGGAAAGGATGAGATCCGTCCTGGGGCTTGACTGTCCACAGCTGACCAGGGCCTTAAGGACAGTAAAGTTATAATGAGCAGGATCCTGAGTAA